AAAGAAAATAAGAATAATCTAACTACAAGCAACAGCACAAATAAATACAATAGAGTAAAGATACAAATAAAATAAACAGTGATTTTCAGGTTTTTTTTAGGTAGGTCTAACATTAGTTTTTAGGTACATTAATTGAATAAAGTAATGAAATGTAAAACGGCATTGCATATTTCACTGTATGAGTGAATTCTTTGTTGTTGCTGTTTGATTAATAGTGCTGTCACTTTAAGAGAATGCACTGATACAGTACATTCAGCCGGCTATGTCTTCTATATGATACTTACCAAGACGGGCATTTTGACATAATTTTTGTGTGAATTTGTCTACTTAAACACAATACTTCAGAGAGAGCTTAATATTTGCACATGTTCTGAGGCACGGGTTTGAGTGTTTTGGATGAGCGCACGCACAAACCTTCTCACTGCGCGAGCGAACTCGCGTCCTCTGGCTCTTAAAGGTTTAAACTGGCAAGGCTTAATAAATTAGTTTAGTTTAAACACAGATATCAACGTGTGTTGTTCAGGTCTCACCTGTGCGCGCGCTCTATCAGCACCCAGGTGATGACGTAATAAATGACTGCTCATATTCCAGCATACAGCATTCGCATTGAACAAGAGTGAATGGTTTGTCCACATTTTTTTTTCATCGCTGTTGTTGTAATGTACTGGGAAGCCAGAATGTGCATCCATCAACAGAAACATACATTAGCCGAAACCTGTTGGTTTTACGTGTTATTTATAGCAAACCATATTACAGATGCGTTGTCAGATTTAAGTTGAACTACAGTCCTAGCGCGTGCTGAACTGTGTGTGGAGAACTATACGGTTAGATTTTTTTCTGCAAACCGTTCCACCATATATGTATATATAGGAATAGTTACACACAGGGGCGTCGCTAGTGGGGGGAAAAGGGTGACAGAGTGCATAGGGCCCAGAGGTCTGGGGGCCCGCGATCACCTACTGGCCATCGGGAGCAACATTCCATTCGAGTAGTGGGCCGATCGCTGAAATGAGGCAGACCTCCCCAATATTAGGCGCTGTTTTTAAATGACAGCACATGCGAAACCGCATAAAGCAAATACTCCGATGGTTTGAAGCAGCGCTACTCGATGCATCCGCCAGCCGTGCGTCAAAGCAGAGCGGGATCAGTCACCCGCACAGTGCTGACGAACGTGTGCCGCACTTCTGCCACGATTTATAAGCGATAAACAGCGCAAATCACTTGATCCATTCAGATGTGACACAGAATTGTTATACAGTCATGTGATATGAGAACATTAAAGGTTCTAGTGATGCTGGCTGTAAACAGCCACGACAAGTAGGTATAATGGAAAACGCCAATAGGCTTGTCACTTCAGCACCATAGTAATTTAACTTGAAGTTATTTAAGGGGTCATATGATGGTGCTAAAAAGAACGTTATTTTGTGTATTTGGTGTAATGAAATGTGTTTATGCGGTTTAAGGTAAAAAAAAACATTATTTTCCACATACTGTACATTATTGTTTCTCCTCTATGCCCCGCCTTTCCAAAAAGTGTAGATTTTTTAAAAGCTCATCAGTCTGAAAAGCGAGGTGTGCTCTGATTGGCCAGCTATTCAGTGCGTTGTGATTGGCCGAATACCTGAAGCATGAGACGGAAATGTTACGCTTCTTACCATATTGTGATGCCGTGTCCCGGAGCGACGAGACAAAAACATTAAAAAAAACATTATAAACGAGGCATTTGTTGCATCCAGTGGGGACATAATTACGGATTATAATGACTTGTAGTGTCTTTTTATGCGTTGTATGGCATCGCGCCACGTAAACATAAAACCATGTCTGCATTTTTGATCGGAGAAATTACAAACAACAAGCGCTACTCTACACTGCTCAAAACTCGCGTTTGAATCATCAGTGGCAAATTCTTTAAATATGAAAACTTACTTACAGTCTGTAAGTCTGTTCATCTCAACATCATGTCATTCCAAACCTGTATGAATTGCTTTCTTCTGTGGAACATAATTTGAGAAATTCAAGAAATTTTTGTCCAAACAGTAGAAATCAAGAATAACCAAATGGGTTTGGTAACATTCTACAAAATCTTCTTTTGTGTTCAACAGAAGAAAGTCGTTTGGAACGACATGAGGGTGAGGAAATGATGACAGAATTTATTAGCAGTAACTTTCCAGCAGTCTAGTTCAAAATCAATGCTTTACTGTCAAGTGTTTTTATATGTGACAAAAATGCATTATTAAGTTTGTTGCATTTGTCGTGAATTCAGTAATATCTCTCAGTATTCATTTCTGTCCTGTTTTATTTATTTATTTACTCCAACTGAAGGCCCTATGACCCATCAAAACATTCAAGGGGGAATTTATAGGCCGGATGGGCTCGAATTGTCCTGGGCCAAATTTTAACCCCAATCCAGCCCCCACCCCTGAAAGTTATTTTACATTTTACGATCACAGCTCATACCCCATACCCCCCCCACAACAATATATATTGTGTGTTTGAGTGGTCCAGACGCTACATTAGCTTAAACATAATCAAATGAGCAGAAAACAAATTTAACTAGTAATTTCAATGGTTATGCTGTCTTTCCTTGCCATCTACAAATCATTTCCCCAATTTTAACAATTATATGTTTGTTTTAAAATGCTCTTAACATTCTGATTAATAATGCTAAATGTAGATGAAAAATGTTTTGCCACAAACCTGCTTTGAACGGTCAGATTCATATACGTATGTATGATAGGTAAAAATAACTATATTTGCCGCATTGTTGTTTTCTGCAGTGTTTTAGCAAAAGTATCAATTTATTTTGCTGCTCACCATGTTTTTCCTTCTGTTTTTAAAGTAACCGTGTCATCTGCAGCTCTTAATGGCGCTTTAGTGTCTAGACGCAAGGCACACAGGAATTGAATGAAGCGCATTTGGTTCGAGATAAAAAAAATTGTTTTTTAAAAACAAACAAAAAAATTATTTATATATATATATATATATATATATTAGAAGAAATACCACTGAAAGATCATTACAATAAACGATCCTGAGCGCTTGTGGTGTGAACCGCTCCGTTGTTTTGAAGCGCTGCTCACTTTATTTCGAACTGGTGCTGCCGTTGCCTATATTATGTATCGTGGTCCGGTTGGAACCAAGCCTAGGTCCGGACTTGGACAGCGGTCCACCATTTGAATATGCCTGATCACTTGGCCTCCTGAAATATGGCTAAAAAGGCAAATGTTCACTATGATCTCATGCAAAATGCCTATTTGCATCAGAAGGGAAATGTATAACGTAGATAGAACCATAGACATTGATGCTTTAAAATACCTCCTGCATATTAAGAGCCAGACGTGATTCCTCTTTTAGCTGGGAAAGGTTTAATGAAAGAGGAAATAGATCATAGCATTGTTTAATGTGTTCCAAAAAAGTTCATTTGAAAGAAACAGCGGTAGAGAGAGACAACAGCAGATATATGTCACAGTTGTTTGTAGGCAAGTAGAATTGAAGCATGAATCTATTTTCAAAGCCGTATACTTATTAAAAGAAAAAAATAACACTCGCGAGCAGAGGAAACATGCAAGCTACACAGCAAAACAAATCATACAAAGATGAGAATAGGCAAATAACTGAAACTAAATGCTATAAATAGAATAAAGAAGGAACTAAACAAGGAACAGGTGAACATAATCAGTTACTATAGAAACAAATTAGGACATATACAGAAACCAAAGCAACCAAGGAAACAGGAACTAAACATAGGAAATGAGAAAACAGGAAAAATAAAATAAAATAAAATATAAAAATAGAGGCTCTGTACAATATAACAGCGGTGTTGAGGAAAGGGTGAGAGAAGAAAGTTTGTGAAGAATCAGTCAATGTTCAAAGTTGAAAGTGGCATTTGGATGCTATGACTAATTTGCATTAGTGTCAGAAGGCACTGATGAGCAATATATATATATAAATATATATATATATATATATATATATATATATATATATGTGTGTATGTTACTGATGTTTTACGTTTAGTTATTTATTTTTTTACTATTTTGATTTTGACATTAATCTAAAATTAGTGACTTGGATGGAGGTAAAATTTCAGTAGAATTTGTGATTTTTTCATGAAATATTATCTTATTACCTTAATGTCCTTTTTCCTTGTAGGTGTTGTAACAGTCTCTTCACTGTTGCTATACTCTTGATCCTGTTCCTGCTCCTGATCTTGATCTAGACTGAGGTCGGGATCAGCTTCATCCTCATCTTCAGAAAGAAACTGTGGCTGCTCACTCTCACTTTTCTGAGACAGATCATCATGAATTTCACCCAGTGTGGGCACCGGTTGACAAAATTCTGTTTGACACACAACAGCAGATTGTTCAGGGCTTTACTTAGAACTGAGACAGTCTATCCATGCAATGGAAAAAAACCTGCTACTGTTTAGATTGCCAAATATAGCTCAATTGCTATCATATATATGATATTATCTGATATTGTCTATCAAATTAATCTGACATTGTGTTTAGCATTATTGCTAGCACAGTTCATTAGCATTACATTCACCTTTTGACATATCATTTATATTTAAAGTCTCTTTTCTCTCCTTCGCTCCATCTTTTACAAGTCCATCAAACAACAGTGGTAAGTCAAAATCAACCAACAAACGGTGAGTCAGTGATGCTCCTGTTATTGTCAGTTGCACTGTTTTTAGTATGTTAGCGGTGAGGGTTTCACATGTTATACAGAAAAGATTTTAGAATTAGAGATGCATCCAAACTTTAATCGAGGTTAATAAGTATGGAAAAGCTTAGATTAGGCTTTGGATGTGGCTAGTTTAGTGAGCCCCGTACATAGTCTTTTACATTTAGTCATTCAGCAGACACTTTTATCCAAAGCAACTTACAAATGAGAACAGTAGAAGCAATCAAAACCAACACAAGAGCAAAAATATGTAAGTGATGTGACAATTTTCGGTTAGCATAACAGTACACGTAGCAAGGTTTTTTTTAAATATAATAAATAAAAAGAAAACAAGTAGATAGAATAGAAAAAGAATAAAAGAATGCTAGTGCTAGAAGATCTTTTTTAATAAAAAGAAAACTAATAGTTAGAATAGAAATAGAATAGAAAGTGCAGTTGTTAGAGTGTCAAGTGTTTTTTTTTAAAAATAAATAAGATAACAAGTAGAGTGTTAGTGTTAGAGGATCAAGTGTAGATGGAAGAGATGTGTTTTAGCCATTTCTTGAAGATGGCTAAGGACTCAGCTGCTCGGATTGAGTTGGGCAGGTCATTCCACCAGGAGGGAACAGCTAATGTAAAAGTGATTTTGTGCCTTTTTGGGATGGCACTTATAATGTGCTGTTCACTTGCAGAATGCAAGCTTCTGGAGGGCACATAAGTCTGAAGTAGTGAATTTAGGTAAAGGGGTGCAGAGCCAGTTATTGTTTTGTAGGAAAAGTGAAGTGAAGTGACATGTGGCCAAGTATGGTGATCCATACTCGGAATTAGTGCTCTGCATTTATCCCATCCTAAGTGCACACACACAGCAGTGAACACACACCCGGAGCAGTGGGCAGCCATTTATGCTGCGACGCCCGGGGAGCAGTTGGGGGACGGTGCCTTGCTCAAGGGTACCTCAGTCGTGGTATTGAAGGTGGGAGAGAGCGCTGTACATTCACTCCCCCTACCTACAATCCCTGCCGGTACGAGACTCAAACCCACAACCTTTGGGTTACGAGTTCGACTCTCTAACCATTAGGCCACGACTTCCCCCTCAATACCTAATTTTATTTATTTTTTTGGAGCAGCTATTGGTAGTATATTCGCATGACACCATGCACCAGTTCCTACTAAAACTCCAAATAGGCTCTCCTACTCAGTGACACACCCAATGAGAAATCTGTCAAAAGTGCACTAGTTATCAGAGATTCTATTGTGCAGACTGTACAAATAGAGACACCAGAAATGGGTTAATGGGTTTTCAATAGACAATGTTACTCAAAACTGCATTTTGTTCTGTTGAAACGATTAACTGTTAAACTTCTGTTACTAAATGTTTACTTTCTTGTAAGTTTATCATTTGGATCCTTTATTTTTTTCTAGTGTGGTTGTTTTGATCAGATCCTGAAAGCTAGACAACTCAGAATGGTCTGACTTTAGTTTTGTTTAAATATACTACATAAAACATATCTGAACGAAACAGCAGACGAGCTGAATGAGACGCAGATTCACTCTCTGACAGCAGGTGGTGCTTATGCACAGCAATGATACAGTGTTTCCTGAGTTACCGATGTAAACAAAGCAGAGCTGCCTTATGAACACTACTTTAATATGCCTTTAATACCTCAGTCGTGGTATTGAAGGTGGGAGAGACCGCTGTACATTCACTCCCCCCACCTACAATCCCTGCCGGTACAAGACTCGAACCCACAACCTTTTGGGTTACGAGTCAGACTCTCTAACCATTAGGCCATGACTTCCCCATGAAAAATGTTGAGTCTAATTATATCCAACATGAGATAATCATGCAAAATGTTTACACAATATAAATTTACTGAGATAAGTGCTTAATAAAATCTTAAGCAATACAAATATATTATAAACAGAATTACATATTTCACAATCATGCATTATGAAAACAATTATTTCTACATGTATTTATTCATAAACATACAGAATAACATAAATCAACTAGATGAGTAAAGTTTGTAAACAAACTTTGAAGTTGGCTTGAGAAAGCCTAGCCTGGAATTTTCAAGCAGTTGTAAAAGCTTGGAAGTTTGAAAGATTAGATAGATGTTGATAGCATGATTTACCACATTGCTAGCATGATTTAACGTGTTGTTAGCATGTTTTAACATGATTTACATGTTGCTAGCATTTTTATCACATGGCTAACAAGATTTAACATGTTGTTAGTATGTTGCTAGCTTGATTAGCATGTTGCTAGCATGATTAACAATGTTGTTAAATGTTGTTAACACATTTCTAGCATGATTAGCATGATGCTAACATGTTTCTAGCATTATTAGCATGTGATTAGCATGTTGTTAACATAACATGTCACTAACATGTTTCTAGCACGATTGACATGATTAACATATTTCTAGCATGATTAACATGTTAACATATTTATAGCATGATTAGCATGTTGCTAAAATGTTTCTAGCATTATTAACGTGCTAGCATGATTATCATGTTAACATGTTGTTAACATGATTAACATATTGTCAGCATGATTTGCATGCTGTTAGCATGTTGTTAGCATGTTGCTAGCATGTTTCTAACTTTGCTAAATTGTTGCCTTTGGCAAGCACTACTAATAAGTATGCAAGAGAACAATAGTGATGCTTTGCCTAATAGGCAAGCACCACTAATGATAAGAAGTGTAAATAGCATTCTCAAGCCAACTTAATAATAAGAAGCTTAAATACAATATCAGTAAGTTGGCTTTTTTTCAAGCCAACTTAAGTTTTTATAGCATTTCAGTAAGTTGGCTTTCTCAAGCCAACTTAATAAGTATGCAAGAAGACCAATAGTGATGCTTTGCCTTTGGCAAGCACCACTAATAATAATAAGTTTAAATAGGATATCACTATCTCAAGCCTTTCTCAAGCCAACATAACTAGATAAACAAGTTTGTCAAGATACACTTTGAAGTTGGCATGAGAAAGCCAGACCAGAAAGTTTGAAAAAGTTTTAAAAGATTTAAGTTTGAAGGTTAGGTTTGAAGTAATTTGAAGTTTAAAATAGTTTTAAAGATTAAAGGTTGAATGTTTTGAATCTATTAGAAAAACAGATTTAAATTTAAATTTTGTCAGTTGGAGTTTGAATAGTCTTGGCTCATTTGAACATTCCGTCAATGTAAGTCTATAGAGAATGAGGAGTTACGTCACGATCTTTTCCCTCCGCATTGCATTTCGGGAAGGCGCCGCCATATTAGCAGGATACGCTATCCGTTCCCATGGTTACTTCTCATTCTCTGTAAGGATAAATGCTTGTTTTTTGTTTTGTTTTTGCCTTTAAGTTAAACAACCATTCATTCTTCATTGTATCGTTTGCAGGGAAGAGAAGCTATTTTATCGCACTGCATGATATGCACTGCATTTCTCTCTTAGGTTTGGTAGAATTTGGTTTACAGTGTTTACCCGATTAGCGTGAAAACTGTCGCCCGCGGGACGCTCGCTGCTCAGTCATCATATGGTACATTGTCCAAATAAAAGTGTGTGTTCAACAAGCTGACAGAAGTCGACTTTGAAATGACAGTATAATTGTTGTCATTATAAATTTTAATGTTTCCATGGCCACGGAGGAGAATCACAGATTGTGGGTCACATTCAGCGAACAGTCACGAACTCACTGTACTTCTTATATTTATTTCAACAAATGACAAGCAAAATCAAATCCCTAGGAGCTCGGGGAAAGTGTTGTAGCATTTTCAAATGCTGGTTTAATGTGCTTAAGACAGTGATGCTAAAAGACACGCAGATGAGCCAGAATATTAACGCGTTTAAATGTAAAGCGTTTTCCTCTCTTTAGAAAACTGTAATCTAGAAAGCGCTTCTGGATTAAGACAGCGATTTCTAAAGTTCATACTTTGGGCTCATCTGTTTTTCCACACATATTATGCTTTATTAGTAAGATGTGTGTACAGAATGTGGTCTTTAAATATCACTGTCTGGTTGCATTAAGCGCGTTCTTTATATGAAAGGGAAATGCTTAAATAAGCGCGTTGCGTTCACATTTTTATTTTATATGCATATCTGCACATAGTATATGCTTTACAATTTTAGATTTTTTAAATTTAGAAAGTCCAAGTTCTGCTAATTCACAAGCCTAGTGAGAGTCATGCTCGCAAAGAAGGTAATGTTAACTATTAAACCAACCAAATCAAAACTTTCAAAAACACACTGCACTGTGATTCTTTTATTGAGTGAGAGTCAGTGGGTTTAATCAGTGACATTAACAGATTTACTATTCGGCGTCTTCTCCGCGACCTCCTTCCCTTGGTGTTTTTACACATAGAAAAGGCGAAAAAACATATCGCATTGTCCATTTTTCTCTCAGAACGATGATCGGAGTTACTATTGCAATTATCGATGCAGTATGAATGACATACACCGCGGTGACATTTTTCACAATCATGACAAACAATCAAATACTGCCCTAAACTCAATAGCGGAACGGCAGCGCTATCCTGCAAATATGGCGGATAAACAAAGCAGTTTCCCAGAACTCAACGCGGCGTTACGTCACATTCTCATTCCTAATAGGATTGTTATGATTTCAGACAGTCTGAAGATCTGAGCTGAGTTTGGTGGATGTAGCTTGAAAGCTCTAGGAGAAATGTAGTA